CCACTTCGACATCAGTGAGAAGAGGTGTTTCGATTTTCTTGATTTCAGAATCAGCTTCTTTTCTTTCTTCTGGTTTCCGTTCGCTTGGAGGAGTTTCAACTGGAGCAGCGTCGACTGGTTTCTCTTCGACTGGGGCAGCCTCGCCTGGTTTCTCTTCAACTGGAGCAGCGTCGACTTGTTTCTCTTCGACTGGAGCAGCCTCGACTGGTTTCTCTTCGACTGGAGCAGCTTCAACCGGTTTCTCTTCAGTTAGTGAGATCTGTGGGATACGTGAAATATTTCCTTCGATGAATTCTGAAGATTCCATCAACAAATCGAGTTCCAATCCGTAGAAAATTTCAGCCTTCGAGAATACGAGCTCCACTTCGAGATCAGTGAGAAGAGGTTTTTCGATTTTCTTGATTACAGTATCAGCTTCTTTTCTTTCTTCTGGTTTCCGTTCGACTGGAGCAGCCTCGACTGGTTTCTCTTCAACTGGAGCAGCCTCGACTGGTTTCTCTTCGACTGGAGCAGCTTCAACCGGTTTCTCTTCAGTTAGTGAGATCTGTGGGATACGTGAAATATTTCCTTCGATGAATTCTGAAGATTCCATCAACAAATCGAGTTCCAATCCGTAGAAAATTTCAGCCTTCGAGAATACGAGCTCCACTTCGACATCAGTGAGAAGAGGTTTTTCGATTTTCTTGATTACAGTATCAGCTTCTTTTCTTTCTTCTGGTTTCCGTTCGACTGGAGCAGCCTCGACTGGTTTCTCTTCAACTGGAGCAGCCTCGACTGGTTTCTCTTCGACTGGAGCAGCTTCAACCGGTTTCTCTTCAGTTACTGAGATCTGTGGGATACGTGAAATATTTCCTTCAACGAATTCTGAAGATTCCATCAACAAATCGAGTTCCAATCCGCAGAAAGTTTCGGCCTTCGAAAATACGAGCTCCACTTCGACATCAGTGAGAACAGGTTTTTCGATTTTCTTGTTTACAGTATCAGCTTCTTTTCTTTCTTCTGGTTTCCGTTCGACTGGAGCAGCCTCGACTGGTTTCTCTTCAACTGGAGCCGCCTCGACTGGTTTCCCTTCAACTGGATCAGCGTCGACTGGTTTCTCTTCGACCGGAGCAGCATCGACTGGTTTCTCTTCAACTGGAGCAGCTTCAACCGGAGCAGCCTCCACTGGTTTCTCTTCGACTGGAGCGGCCTCAACTGGTTTCTCCTCGACTGGAGCAGCTTCAACTGGTTTCTCTTCGACTGGTTTCTCTTCAACTGGAGCATCTTCAACTGGTTTCTCTTCGACTGGAGCGGCCTCCACTGGTTTCTCTTCAACTGGAGCAGCCTCCACTGGTTTCTCTTCGACTGGAGCAGCTTCAACCGGTTTCTCTTCAGTTACTGAAATCTGTGGGATACGTGAAATATTTCCTTCGATAAATTCTGAAGATTCCATCAACAAATCCAGTTCCAATCCGCAGAAAGTTTCAGCCTTCGAGAATACGAGCTCCACTTCGACATCAGTGAG